AGTCTCCAACCAAACCTGTGACATGCCCCCAGTCTCCAATCAAACCTGTACCATGTCCCCAGTCTCCAACCGAACCAGTAACATGTCCCCCCTCTCCAACCGAACCTGTGACATATCCCCAGTCTCCAACCAAACCTGTAACATGTCCCCAGTCTCCAACCAAACCTATAACATGTCCCAAGTCTCCAACCGAACCTGTAACATGTCCCCCATGTCCTTATCTCCCATACACACTGCTGCGTTGTCACCCTGTCACATGGGCTTCCAATGGAGACTAAAAGTGGCCGTTTCAACACACATCACACAGACATGGTCCACTGTTGTCACCATCAGGAAACCCGCCCTGTCATGCAGCCATCACTGGGGGGCATATAGACAGGAAGTGGCTGCAATAGAGCTTGCTGGAGATCAGAAGAACTGAGATGGAACAAAGGAGGAAAAAAATTAAAGTATTTAGTAAAAAAGAAAATGACTAAAATGGTTAATTGTAGGCGGTCCATAGCGCACTACACGTCATCCGCTTACATCTACTTTAAGCCTGACTCGGTAGAATAAAGCAGTTTGGGGGTTTATTTCTCCCCATGGAAGTCCAGTGTGATAAATGTACATTAGCAATGTCCAGTCCTTTGTATGGAACGTCATGAGATACAGTCAGGACCGTCCCTGAGATGTGACATTATGTGACGTGTGAGCTTTAGTAGGACTTTAACGAGGGACTTGATGCTGAATCTACATTCCTGAACCATCTCCTGACTTCATTACTCTGCAGTCATTAGAAGCTCATTAAGAGTCTCCCAACCCCTTCGAGTCATACACGGGTAGTTGGTGTTGTCTAACTTTTAATAGGAGTTTCTTTTTCGAGTTTTGGTCTAATAATTTTAATATTCCGCCCTTCAGTTTCCTGTGTGCTTCCTCCACCCCTCTCTCTCTCTTTCGGTTGTTTGGCCAACTAAGGGAAAAATTCCGACGTGATCACAAAGACTGAGATTAAAATCAGAAATGTGCTTTTTATGAATCAAGTCAAAACAGATTTTATTAGTTTCCTGTTCCAGGGGTAGCCAAACTCAGACCCTCTAGCTGTTGTACTACTACAAGGGGACTACATGGGACTACAAGTCCCATGAGGCATTGCAAGACTCTGATGGCCACAGGCATGACTCCCAGAGGAAGACACATGGTGGGGGGTGTAGTTTCACCACAGCCAGAGGGCCAAAGTTTGGCTACCCCTGTATTACACTATGCAGCATGGTCAGTGTGCACACCATAACTATTCTGAATGGCACCCCAACCCATCTGCCCTTAGTTCCCATCTAAACCAACCTAAGCGTGAGCATAGCCATGTGTTTTTGTAGGCCTCATTTTGCATTTTTACGCAATTTTAAGGGCAAAATTTTCCCCCCCCCCCCCTCGAAGATTAAATGGGGGCACCTGAAAAATGTTTTTTCAGGCGCTCCCATTAAAGTCTCTGAGGCCAAAGTCACATGATTCTGTCCCAAAAGGAACTCATGTACTTTTTTCCCAGTTTCAGGCGACAAGTGACACAACACTGAGGTGTAAACAGGCCCATTGAGAACAATGGGATTCTTCATCTTGAGATTTGACGCACTTCAGGAATCGTTCAACGTAACGTTCAGGTGTGAACAGGCCCATTGAGATCAATTAAATTCTTCTTCTCGAGTGTTGACGCACTTCGGGAATCACTCAACAAAACACTTAGGTGTCAATGGGGCCCTAAGTGCACCGTAACGTACAGATGTGAGCGGTCTGTGTGTAGTGGTGTGCTGTCCATAAACCGCAGGTATGTTTTTTCGTGTGTTGAAGCAAAGCGAATGGGTTGTCTTAATGCAACACACGCACGAAAGAAGTGTGCTAACACGCTCGTGGGTGCGAAGGGGTCCGTGATCTCCACCCATAGCCAAAACAGCTAAGCAGACACTTTCCAAGAGATCAAAAACTGACCATTATTTTTGTTACATCATCCCAACATAAATCTCACCCAAAACTTATTTGTCTGCTCAGTGTGTCAGTCAATACAGACAGCTTGCAGATTCATTGCCTGGAATGCACTCAGATCCAAGCAGTAAATGTTCCCGGATTTGACCAAATCTTCTGCATTTGCTACCATGCAAATGTTTCAAAGCCTGTCTGAAGGAGGCCCATAGCTGTGCTTTATGGTTCTGATATTGGGGGGAGGGGACTCACTGAACACCTTACAGAATCATGAAGAACTCCATCCAGTCCATAGAAATGTAAAGAGTCCATAAGGCATGGATTTATTTTTCTGCTTCTGACAATAATCTACTGGCACCTGTACCAGCAAATGTTAATTTCTGTATCCACCCGGACGCTGCAGACAATCTGTACAATGTGATCCAACCTGCCCGATCACTGATACCGTCATGCAATCCTGTACATAGTATCATCACTAGAATGTCACCAATGTAGAGATATTTAAAAGTCATAATGTAAATCTGTGTAATCATTATAGGCAGCCTCACCTTCTTATGGAGATACGTTTGTGACATAGAGAATAAGGGAAATCTGTGATTTTTTAGGACAACTGACTACAAAACAACCGAGAGTGACAGAATCCACTGAACAGAGTGAACAGTCTCCTCGCTGGTGGATATGATACACAGAAGAAAACTTGGTTCAATTTCTCCATGACTGGTTAACCACCACCGGGCAAAATGAGCTTCATAATATCTATATGTCTGTGGGGGGAGATTAGAGCGTAAGCTCCTCGGGGGGCAGAGACTTAGGTAAGTGATTCTCTTCATTTTACTCATTTAATAGCTGTGACATATTCCATAGCGCTGTACAACCCTAGTCTAGAAAAGCTTACACTCTAATTTCTTCACCACAGTCACACACACACATTGAGACCAGTTTAGATAATGTTTTTGTAGGAGAAGGAAACAACCCCCCCCCCCCCTAAAGAATGAGCACAAGCCCCAGGGGGAACACGAGCACCCCACATAACATGGTCACTGGTGGCAATGAACACAAAACCATTAGAGAAACCAGGAAATTAATTCAGATTTACAACATGCGCAAGCAAGTGAGGGGTTAAGAATAAAAGATTGGAGCAGAAGATATAAGTTGATCACATCCAACATCCAGCACTGCTTCACCCTAAATAGTAACAGACAGACCTACCCTAGTATACAATGTGATATTTAATAAAGCAAAAGTGCAGTTACCAATAGAAACCAGCCAGTGGTCCTCTAGATGTGCTCAGTGCTCTGCAGTGTAGCAAAGCGAACTCTGGTTGCTATGGGTTACTGAACATCACTGCGTCCCAGCACTGTCTGCAGCCTACAGTCACTACCAGCACCCCATATAATAAAGGAAGGAAGAGATTACCGCCCCCCTATTGGGTCCAGGGTTCCCAAAAGTCTACATCTCACCCCAGTCATTGCCTTGGGTGGTGCACCCTGCAGTTCCAGGTAACCCGTTCCATTATGGAGCAAAGATGAGCTTTTCCTGAGAACAAGAAATCCAGGTGGCAAATGGTTAACTCGAAGCAAGGTGAGGTGGCACAGGCTGCACTGGCATACCATGGGTTAACTGCCAGTTTAATTTGCTCTACTAGAAGCCTCTTCTCTTCACTGCCTGCCTTCCAAAGCATTCTGCCTAAAAATGTGGGCGGTGATTGTCTAGTGTAGGAGAAGAGGGGGAGAGAGAGAGAAAGAAAGAGGGAGAGAGAGAGAGAGAGGAGGGAGGGAGAGAAGAGAGAGAGAGAGGAGAGAGAGAGAGAGAGGGTGAGAAAGAGAGGGGGTGAGAAAGAGAGAGATTGAGAAAGGGAGAGAGAGAGGGAAGGGTGAAGGAAGAGAGAAAAGAATAAGGGAGGGGGGAGAGAGAGAAAGAAGGTGAGAGAGATAAGAGAGAGGTGAGGGATAAAAAAAGGGGGTAGAGGGGAAGAGAAGAAAGAAAGAAAGAAAGAAAGAAAGAAAGAAAGAAAGAAAGAAAGAAAGAAAGAAAGAAAGAAAGAAAGGAGAAAGAAAGTGTTTTGGAGGCAAATGAAAGAATGGATAGAGAAAGTGAATACAGAAGAAAGCAAAGGATGGAGGTCGGTGGGCAGAGTGAAGGATGGAGGTCGGTGGGTAGAGTGAAGGATGGAGGTCGGTAGGCAGAGTGAAGGATGGAGGTCGGTAGGCAGAGTGAAGGATGGAGGTCGGTGGGCAGAGTGAAGGATGGAGGGCGGGAGGCAGAGAGAAGGGCGGCGGGCGGGTGGGAGAGGAGGTCGGTAGGCAGAGTGAAGGATGGAGGTCGGTAGGCAGAGTGAAGGATGGAGGTCGGTGGGCAGAGTGAAGGATAGAGGTCGGTTGATAGGTAGATGTGCATCGCTCTGCTCCGTCTCCCCGGGGTGTCAGGTCCAGGAGGAGGAGGAGGAGGAGAGGGAGGGATCGGACCAAGATTTGCACAGCTCAGACGCATCTCAGGGGCCACAGAGGCAAGTGCAGTGACACATTCCATGTGCTGATTTGCATGTCTCCGCCCCTAATCTTTTAATGTCTGCAGTGCTGACACTGGCTGGGATTTGGGAGGTTGGATCGGGCAGGGCTGAGCTGCAATCACAGGGAGCCGAGCTCACACACACACACACACACACACACATACACACCCCTAGCTCTCTGTGCCTGCACTGCTGCTGATCGCAGGGGAGCCTGGACCCAGTGCCACGGGGGAAACAGCCTTGAAGGGACCCAGAACCCCAGGGGTCAGCCTTGAAGGGACCCAGTACCCCCAGGGGATCAGCCTTGAAGGGACCCAGTACCCCAGGGAAATTAGCCTTGGAGGGATCCACTGCCCAGGGAAATCAGCTCTTCTTGAATCTGGCGTTTGGGATCCACAGCCCGGGGCGGATCAGCTGGTGGTCGCCTCTGCTGGAATCTGGGATCTAGAGTTGGGATCGATCTGGAATTGCTGCGATGTGATTGTTGTGGCTGAACCTGGAAGATGCTCATCTGTGCCAAGATCGCGCTGGAGATCCCCCGGGGGGGACAAGCTCCCGGGACCTGGATCTGGAGGCACACGGGATCCACCGACTAAAGTTTCTCTGGATTTTTCGTTATTTTTTGGGATGTTCGGAGAGGGGGACCAATGTGGATTATGCTGAGTTCGGGAAGAGGAGCCAGACCAGACCAGGTACTGGGATCGGGGGCTGGGGAGAGATCCGATCTGTTACTTTTGGCATCTGATCATTTCTGATCTGCCCATCTTTCATCTGTTACTGGGGGACCGGATCGAAGAGTGATCACTTGTGATCCATCAACTGGGGGTATCTGATTTATCTGCGACAATCCTTCAGATCTGATCTATAATCAATCCGTGTCCCTGGCTTGTATCTGAATCCCAGGTGATCCCTGTTACTGTAGGATATTCCTTTTTTGGGGGGTGTATATTCTATAGGGAAAGGGGGGGGGGTGTAGGGGTTAATATTACAGCAGGAATCGGATCTCCAGTCTATCAGGACCAGGAGACATATATAGGTGATGGCTGAGACTGGCGATGTATAGGTGATCAGCGTAAGAACAGAGGATTTATAGGGTGAGATATTTACAAAGTGATCAATGTCAGTATAAGAGATCTATGGGTTGACATGATCAATGTTATTATGGAGTGTCTGTAGGGTGAGATATAATGTAGGCGAATAATGTCAGTATAGGGGGGCTGTAGAGTGAGATATTCTGTCTGTGATCATTGCCAGTACAGGGGATCGATATACTGTCAGTGATCATTGTCAGTATAGGGGGGCTGTAGGCTGAGATATACTGTCAGTGATCATTGTCAGTATAGGGGGGCTGTAGGGTGAGATATACTGTCAGTGATCATTGTCAGTATAGGGGGGCTTTAGGGTGAGATATACTGTCAGTGATCATTGTCAGTATAGGGGGGCTGTAGGCTGAGATATACTGTCAGTGATCATTGTCAGTATAGGGGGGCTGTAGGGTGAGATATACTGTCAGTGATCATTGTCAGTATAGGGGGGCTTTAGGGTGAGATATACTGTCAGTGATCATTGTCAGTATAGGGGGGCTGTAGGCTGAGATATACTGTCAGTGATCATTGTCAGTAGAGGGGGGCTGTAGGGTGAGATATACTGTCAGTGATCATTGTCAGTATAGGGGGGCTTTAGGGTGAGATATACTGTCAGTGATCATTGTCAGTATAGGGGGGCTGTAGGCTGAGATATACTGTCAGTGATCATTGTCAGTAGAGGGGGGCTGTAGGGTGAGATATACTGTCAGTGATCATTGTCAGTATAGGGGGGCTTTAGGGTGAGATATACTGTCAGTGATCATTGTCAGTATAGGGGGGCTGTAGGCTGAGATATACTGTCAGTGATCATTGTCAGTAGAGGGGGGCTGTAGGGTGAGATATACTGTCAGTGATCATTGTCAGTATAGGGGGGCTTTAGGGTGAGATATACTGTCAGTGATCATTGTCAGTATAGGGGGGCTGTAGGCTGAGATATACTGTCAGTGATCATTGTCAGTAGAGGGGGGCTGTAGGGTGAGATATACTGTCAGTGATCATTGTCAGTATAGGGGGGCTTTAGGGTGAGATATACTGTCAGTGATCATTGTCAGTATAGGGGGGCTGTAGGCTGAGATATACTGTCAGTGATCATTGTCAGTATAGGGGGGCTGTAGGGTGAGATATACTGTCAGTGATCATTGTCAGTATAGGGGGGCTTTAGGGTGAGATATACTGTCAGTGATCATTGTCAGTATAGGGGGGCTGTAGGCTGAGATATACTGTCAGTGATCATTGTCAGTAGAGGGGGGCTGTAGGGTGAGATATACTGTCAGTGATCATTGTCAGTATAGGGGGGCTTTAGGGTGAGATATACTGTCAGTGATCATTGTCAGTATAGGGGGGCTGTAGGCTGAGATATACTGTCAGTGATCATTGTCAGTATAGGGGGGCTGTAGGGTGAGATATACTGTCAGTGATCATTGTCAGTATAGGGGGGCTTTAGGGTGAGATATACTGTCAGTGATCATTGTCAGTATAGGGGGGCTGTAGGCTGAGATATACTGTCAGTGATCATTGTCAGTAGAGGGGGGCTGTAGGGTGAGATATACTGTCAGTGATCATTGTCAGTATAGGGGGGCTTTAGGGTGAGATATACTGTCAGTGATCATTGTCAGTATAGGGGGGCTGTAGGCTGAGATATACTGTCAGTGATCATTGTCAGTATAGGGGGGCTGTAGGGTGAGATATACTGTCAGTGATCATTGTCAGTATAGGGGGGCTTTAGGGTGAGATATACTGTCAGTGATCATTGTCAGTATAGGGGGGCTGTAGGCTGAGATATACTGTCAGTGATCATTGTCAGTAGAGGGGGGCTGTAGGGTGAGATATACTGTCAGTGATCATTGTCAGTATAGGGGGGCTTTAGGGTGAGATATACTGTCAGTGATCATTGTCAGTATAGGGGGGCTGTAGGCTGAGATATACTGTCAGTGATCATTGTCAGTATAGGGGGGCTGTAGGGTGAGATATACTGTCAGTGATCATTGTCAGTATAGGGGGGCTTTAGGGTGAGATATACTGTCAGTGATCATTGTCAGTATAGGGGGGCTGTAGGCTGAGATATACTGTCAGTGATCATTGTCAGTAGAGGGGGGCTGTAGGGTGAGATATACTGTCAGTGATCATTGTCAGTATAGGGGGGCTTTAGGGTGAGATATACTGTCAGTGATCATTGTCAGTATAGGGGGGCTGTAGGCTGAGATATACTGTCAGTGATCATTGTCAGTATAGGGGGGCTGTAGGGTGAGATATACTGTCAGTGATCATTGTCAGTATAGGGGGGCTTTAGGGTGAGATATACTGTCAGTGATCATTGTCAGTATAGGGGGGCTGTAGGCTGAGATATACTGTCAGTGATCATTGTCAGTAGAGGGGGGCTGTAGGGTGAGATATACTGTCAGTGATCATTGTCAGTATAGGGGGGCTTTAGGGTGAGATATACTGTCAGTGATCATTGTCAGTATAGGGGGGCTGTAGGCTGAGATATACTGTCAGTGATCATTGTCAGTATAGGGGGGCTGTAGGGTGAGATATACTGTCAGTGATCATTGTCAGTATAGGGGGGCTTTAGGGTGAGATATACTGTCAGTGATCATTGTCAGTATAGGGGGGCTGTAGGCTGAGATATACTGTCAGTGATCATTGTCAGTAGAGGGGGGCTGTAGGGTGAGATATACTCTCAGTGATCATTGTCAGTAGAGGGGGGCTGTAGGGTGAGATATACTCTCAGTGATCATTGTCAGAAGAGGGGGGCTGTAGGGTATGATATACTGACAGTGATCATTGTCAGTATAGGGGGTCGATATACTGTCAGTGATCAATGTCATTATAGGGGCGCTGTAGGGTGAGATATCATGTGGGTGATCAGAATGAATTTGGGCTATACATAAGAAGTGGGTAATCTACAGGGTGTCAGAGCCATGGTACATGATCAACGATAGGTGTGTGTGTGTGTGTGTGTATCTGTCTGTATATACAGGTGGGCATAGAAGGAGCTATAAGTGGTCATTTCACCCATAGACAGAGCCGTGGGTCCTGTACATGCATACAGGGTTAATGATCACTATTTATGATCAATAAGAATGATCTTATGGAGGTGGCACTTGCAGGACTGTATAGGGGACACCTCGGCCAGTATCAGCATAGATGGGCACACCGACCCAGCACTGAGTACAGATTGTCCTTCATTTTACTGGCACGTTGTGCTCCTGGTTAACTCTTGAGAGCCCGGGACACAGCCACCCCAACATCAGTCACCGGTGGGATTGTCGGTGGCTTTTTTATCTGTATACAAGTCTGGAAATTCATTCCCAGGGGGTGAGGAAGGATTTTTTT